CTGTTGATTGTTTGTTATTGTCTAATGTTATGCACCACCCACCATGACAAATTCCTTGTATGTGAACATTAGCAATAAACGGTTCTGATAAAAGTATAACCATCACAACATATAGCTTGTTTACACTTTTTATAACCATCATAACATATAAACTGTTTTATTTCATGTTAGATGTGATTTAACATATAAACTGGTTTTTTTCATGTTAGAAGTGATAGAAACATTTAGCCTGCTTAGACACTTTATGTAACATAGTCACTTGAGCCTTATATGGCGCTTCCGGTTCTAATAGGACCAAACCAGTTACATTCTGTTGCTAACTCTGATACAGGATGTCTCCTGTCTGTGTGACGCATGTGATTATGGGTGGTACCAGCCTCAGAGTAGCATAAAAGAAGCAGAGAAACAGTGAGATTCAGCGATTCCCCAGTGTAGAGACTGGGACAGACTTCTTTAATAGACCCTTAGGGGTCTTACCCCCTCAGAGGTGGGATAGAAAACCCTTCTGCTGTCTTACCCCCTCAGAGGTGGGATAGAAGACCCTTTGTGCGTTATCTCTGAAGACAGCAGTGGCGGGCCGTGCATTTTATACCTGTCCTGCAGCTGAAACACAGCTACGGTTATTTGTTTCGTGTCAAAATGAAGTAACACCTATAGATAGAGTGCGTCTCCTCAAATATTCACAAAAAAATTATCAAAATCTTTTTTTTTTTCAAAATAACACTTGTAGTACAACAAGGAGGAGCCCATTCATGTGTGAAGTGATTTTGGTTACATTACATTGCATGACAGTGAAGCTATTGAATATTGTTGTAGTAGGTATTTTCCACATTGCACTTTGTAGACGGTCCCTGCGCACTCGTCTCACAGCCGGCCGCTCATTGAGACCAATGCCGATTGTCCAGCTCGGAGGAGTCCGTAAGACGGCCCGTTTTAATTAAATTAAGGTTGTAGCTTGTTGTCTACCTCAATACGGTTACAGGGAGGTATCGTTTGTATTTTAGCAACGTTTCGTTAACGATTTATTGAACCGGGAAATCTGAATCTGTCAATATCTTTCTAACTTTACCTAAGTCTGCTCTGACTGCAGCTGGGACTGCTGCGCCTGTGTGTGCTTTGGGGCGGCGGAGGGGCTCACGGCAGCTCCCGCTGCTCGTTCACGACAGTGCAGAACGTGCTTTCACGAGTCAAAACAGCACATAAGTCTCCAACAACACCAGAACAAGTCGCTAGATTTGTCACGAGTAGCTTTTGACAAATAAAGTCGCCATGAGGGTTTGGAAAGTCGCCAGATTTAGCGAGAGAGTCGCCAAATTGGCAACACTGGCACCGGCTAAATATGTCCCCAGAGCAACATTGGACATAACAATTGTTCCTATCACCTATAAAACAAACAAAAATCTTCATAAAAACAAGTTGTACAAATAATAATAAACAAACAAGCATATTAAAGCTACTGCAGATGTAAAAACAAAAGCAGCTCACTTACCAGAGCTGCTGTTCACTATTTATACACAAAGTCCATGCTCCTTTCTTTGTTAATAAAGAGTTTAATCCCACGGTTGTTCAGTACATCCGTGCATTTTAGTTCCAGTAAGAACTTCTCGATTCATGGACGCCAGTGAAGACAGTGGAGCCTCCCCAGTTGTATTTCTTGAATAGGTTTTAATGCGTTTGAGGGCTGAAAATGTCCGCTAGACAGAGGCAGCAGATTTTGGGATTGTCACCGCCCAACACGTCAGGCTAGCCCGCTGACCAATCACGTATGGCTAGGCCAGCTAGCAGGCTCTGGCACGTCAAAGAATACGCCCAACATGTCAAACTAAAGATCTGATTGGTTGAACACTATGACAATCAACAATATAGTCCCCAGCAGAGAATTTCTTCGGCTCATTAAGGGAATTCTCCGTCCTGTAACCGGCATGAAATCGACTTGGATAGAAAGAGAAGTTGTCCTCTTTTTCTGAAGAATCCGTTTCTTCACATCTGCAGGAAAAATGTAAAAAAAAAAAACAGTCTCTTTGAAACTGTTTACCTCGGGTTTTCTTCTAAAAACAGCAACGTTGTGTTTGCCTCCTTACTTGCGAACTGAATCGCATGGACTAGGTGGGGGTGAAACAAGGTTTTGTAAAAGAAGGTCTGAGGGCCTTGACCAATGGGAGGCCAGTGTTGCATTTGGGTCACGATTTCACAGGTGACTGTGAAATCCTTTCTGGTGGGGGTTTGGATGCCCCCTACCCAAAGCAGGATGGGCCTTGCCTGCAGAATTGGCAGGCCCAGTCTCTTTGTCTTAGAGAACATGGCGAAGCCAAGCACATGGTCCCAACAATACCATCACAAAACTTTTACAGGTGCGCTAAGATCAAAAAGGAAGGCACAATTTGAAGATGGGTGTGGCAGTAAAGGTAGGTAGTGGGCACGGGCCATTGCCCACCCCACTTTACGCCCCCTGCCCCAGTATAGCGTCGTAGGTGGTGTGATCCAATCGCAACATGGTCTCTAGCTGTATTATTTATTATTTGCATTTTGTTTTAAACTCCCTTTCTTATACACATCTCAGTTCATACTCTGACTCGATGGGCTTAACCTATATTCTACATTGTTCCAACATAGTTCAATGTGTCACAGTATATTTCCACATTAAAATGGTTCCAAACCCACTGCCCGATGGGGGCCACATGCCTAGTTAGAATTCTGAGAAACTCCAATCTCCTTTCCCACCTACACAGACAGAGAGCTTATACCCAAACCGTCTTTCCTCCTAACAGTTTGAGTTTTTGCCTCGATAAAAGCTTTCTAAATAAAGTATTACAACAGATACTGAAGGAGATGGATGCAAACTGGAACAGCAAAGGCGGTCTGTGACGGGCTAAAAAAATTGTCCAGCTGAAATATCCTGCCGAAATGGAAGGCTGAAAGCACCCAGGGCACGGAACGGAGCTCTTTATCTATAATACAGTTCACAGTCAAAATGCCAGGGACAGCAAGTGAAAGTGTACTGTTGACCCATTTGTGTTCAAGATTAGAAATTACTCAAGATTAATTTACAATAGCCGAGTGGGATTTATTTATCCTCAATTTTAGATCCGGTAGACAAAGTGGACTACATACCAACACGGTATAGACATGCCTGTATACTTTGGCAGCAATATATTGGAATGCAAATACATGCTTATGCATTATTCACGGATGTTAAAACCCATCTCAAATTCATGCTTTCTCCTCTGCATTATTAATATGCACTGCCTCTGTGGTGAGGCTTTCTGTATGTCTGTAAAATGACATCCAACTTCTTGAGTTATTATATTTAAATTACAAAAACTTATTCTGATTTTAGTTTTTGTGCTTATAAAATGTGGAGGCTTATAAGGAGTCATTTCATAGTCTTAGTCCATTTTACATTTTTGTTTGTGAACAGATTAAACAAATGATACACAATGTGTGAATCAGTGAGCTTTAGAGGTGTCGGTGGGTGTGTTAAACTTCGGTCATAGCCAGGTTAGCTGTTTGTCCCTGCTTCCAGTCTTTATGCTAAGCTAAGCGAACCACATCCTGAATGCAGTTCTCCACTCAACACACAGACAACATGAGATTGACAGTGATCTCACTCTCAGAGAGCAAGTGAATAAGACAATTTCCTTAAACGTGGAACTATTTCCTTGATATTTTGTAGATCATTTTTAAGTCACGCCTGCACTTTGTCCCACCTGACTTCATTTCTGACCTGTTCACCCCTCGACCTAAGTTCATGCGCAGGCACCTTGTTAGTAGTTCCGCTGTTATTAAGAGACAGTACCTCATAATTATGCCAAACTAAATCACATCATCATATGTGGTGGATTCACATTACAGGACAGTTTGTGAGTTAATAAAAGCCAGGCAGTCCTCACTGTGCCGCTGCTCATTTACACATTATGATCTCTCTTTCTGCCTCACATTGTGCTCTCTTCTTAACGCTTTTATTTCCATCCTTGCTATTTCCTCCTGCTTTATTAGATGCCACAATGAGTGTATTAAAAACAGTCATGCTTTGATGTATGGCCATCATGAAGAGCAATAATTACACTGACCAATCACTTTTTATATGAACATATGGCATGTGAGTGTTGTATAAAGATACAATTCATTAAATGAATAAAAACAAAAGTCTGTCGCTTTTCTTTGTTAGGAATTAACACTATTTTTCACATTTCTTTCAGGTTAAATGTAATTCTTTTGTTCTTGACTCAACATGTCTGCCTCTAGATCTCAGGAAGACATCACTTCATCTTTGCTCTTACCAAGAATATGTTATTACTAAAACTCCACTACCATTAGGTCCATTATGTACAGTTTTAGAATTTTGGTGTTTCTTTCTTATTTTAATAATAATACATTGTATTTGTATAGCGCTTTAAAAGGTACTCAAAGACACTTCACATGGTAAAAACAGATATTTTTGTTTTACTTCCGCCTCATAAATATTTGTATATATGAAATTTAACTAATGCTTAAAGCTACTAGAGGAACTCTCGTTTCGTATTGATTTTGGTCCCTGTGGACTGAAGTGGTTTAGAAAACCTCTCATTAAACTGCAGCAGGGGTCTGACAGTCTGCCCCACTCAGTCTTGGTTCTGGTTCTCCCGTGCCGTCCTTCCCTCCAGCGGGCCCAGCAATACGACCTGGTCCTCCTGCAGAGTGGTTTCTGTGTTGGCAACAAGCTGCCTGACCTCCGTGCCCATCAGTAACTCCTCTCTGGATTACTAATATTGAGGAATTAGTATTGAATGGAGACTGCTTCAACAGTTAAAAGTTCCTCATAGTAACTTTAAAATAAAAAATGTTTTGTGACTTTTCTTATAAATAATACTATTAAATCTAAGTGAGTTCTCTTACGTTGGCCAGGGGTAGAATGTGAGATGCTTTTACTACACACAGACAAAGGGAAGCATAAGTCACTGTAAAATGTAGCATTAGTCATAATGGACAAAATGTTGTATGAAGCCATAATTATAGATATATATTTCAGAAGAGGGTTGTTTTATTATTATTTCTTTGTAAACAGGAAGCCCATCTTTTGGGGAGAAAACAATGAACGGGCACACCTTACCATGCGTAACCCTCTGTGCTATTGTTATATACCACTTGACCCATACAAAGTCTGGATACTAGCCTAGTTCACAATGAATGATCAATTAATTTATCCATGTGAAGTGATCTGATGAGAGGTGTTGTGTGAAAGGTGGAGAAACAAAGCAACACTGAGGTGTGGACTGATTGTCTGCAGTCTGATGCCACAGAAAGACGGCGCCCCACGGTGGACAACAAAGGAATCGCAAGTCTTTGCTTGCACTGATGCCATCCATCCATCCGCCCGTTTATCGCCACCTCTTCATTTCTCTGGATGCCAGGAGCAGAGCCACTTATTGGGAGTAGAGGTTAGTGGGAATGCCTTCCTCCAATGGAGTAAGAGCACCTTGGCAGGCAAACACTTCGATGGTCCTCTGGAAAACAGCGCGTTTAAAATATGATATAAATGCATATCGGCGTGGACGCACACGCAACAAGCTGCCTTACCTCCGTGCCCGTCAGTAACTCCTCTCTGGATGTGGTGAAGAGAAGCTCATAGAGTCTGTACTTCTGAAACAGACTGCAGCCGGCAGAATACACAGGGTCAGCTGTGTCAGTTGAATTATTAAAACACAGTAGATTCTAGAAGAGCACAGAGCTGGTTTACCAACAGCATCTCACTTAAATTATACAATAAAACCGTACCATGATTTCAAGTATTTTCTTTTGTAGTCAATTTGATAGTGTCATCCTAAATCTATGCTCAATTATATTCATACGTATAATGGACATAAAAGATGGTTTGGGTTTTTGGTTAGACGCCAGATATAAGGTCTGTGGTTGACACAAGCTGAAGAGGTTTTAAAGTTTAGTTCTGCTACATAGGTCAGTAAACATCCCACTCTTGAATTTTGAAGCTTTTAAGTGTCTTAAAAAAGCCGGTTGCTAAGGAGTGGCTAATGTATGACTCAGTTTGACTATAACAAATACTCAGATGAAACATATTGTGCTATTTATCACAGACTACTTCCAACGTTTAACAAGGACATTTGTCTTGGAACCCTTTCAAATTTTTAACATGTGTCGTGTTCCCGGTCCAAACTGACTGGTGTGAAAAATGCTGACTCATTTAAGTTGAATTGATTTCAATAGTAAAGAAAGGACATGGGTTGTCTCTTGGTTTGGATCATATTCTGTGTTGTCTTCATCATTACTTCATCCTCTTCACTGTCAGTTTCCTGGCCTCTCCCCTCCTCACCAGTAGATATGATCAAGAGCCTCACATACAGTAGTACATGGTTTGGCCATTGTGCTGCCACAGAATGAACTGAGGCAAGGCCTCAAAAAAGCTTTAAATAACAGAGCAGAGTTGTAAGAAAGGTTCCAAATATTTTCGAAAACAATGTTGTAATTGTTTGTGAGGATCATAGGTGAGAATGGGCAAAGTCATGGAAACTTATGACTAATCAAGATGTGTACCTTGTACTGTATGCCACCTGTGTGTTAAAAGGAAGGCCAATTTGAGGGGGGAGCCCAGGGAAGCAGTGACCTGCTGGACCTCTTTTCAGCACCACCTAACAGTGTGGAGCTAATGATTGGGCCATTAAGGGGAACAAATGGGACCTTTGATGTGTGCCACTGGATGGACACATTTTTATACCAGCCCATAAAACTCGTGCTGGTCCCACATGGACGTGTTGGGATTTATATGCATTTGTAAACCTCTCAGGTGTGTCTCAACGAGTCAGACACACAGCGTGAAAAAAATCCACATCTAGACTTTACCTGTGAATACAAGAGCATTTAAAGGATTCTTCTGACCTGTTTCTGATGTAACTTATGAGCGCCGTGGCTTCTTCTTCGTCAAGAAGTGGAGTGGTGTCTTCCTCTGAAGTCCGGCACTGGCTGGCAGCACCTAGGGCCTTAGCAAACTCCATCAAGTTCTCCACTAAAGGCAACCATTTCTCTGGAATATGACGATAAAACACAGATTACTGCAGGGATTCTGACATATTTGATAGGATATGTAGTTACGGAACACACTCACAAAACTGCCTTTTCTGCATTGTAGCGACGCAAGGTAAATTTAAATGTATCAAACTTTCTCATCTTACATTCATCGAAATGAATAAAGGAACACCTGCACAATCCGGTGAAATCTAGCACAATATTCCAGGATTCATGTGCCCTGAAAGAGCTCAGCTGTGAAACTTGTAACATTCTGTTGACCATTGGATCTGAGAGATGACAATTTAACACAATGGTCATTTTAGGCTTTAATTAGTTGCGGTTTTGTAGGTGTATGTACTTAATAGGCTGGTAACTCTGTATAAGACTGTGTCCAAAATCACTCCCCTTTTGTTCTACAGTAAACTCATAGACTATAGGAAGTGGATGTAACCTCCATGATGTCACCAATGGACCATCATTTACTAGATGAACATCATGCTGTATTGAGGAAATAGAATAATTTTCTCATAGACTTCTATACAATCGAACTTCTTCTCAAGTTGCCCCCCGATGGCCATCAGAAAGAATGCAAGTTTGCGCATTGGCTTCACTTTTCAGAGCCAGAAGTTGCCGCCTGAGCGGCAACATAAATACTGTCCGAGATTTTATTTGAGTGTCCAAATCATATGTGTAAATATTTCCACTATATAGTGCCCTTAAAAATTAAAAAGTAGTCCATGGCCTTTATACTTTCTGAAAATAATCCCACAATGATATGCTGATATGTTTTATAAATAAGAAAATTAGTGTTGCACAACTCTGCGCCTGTCAGTGATGACCAAAATGATGATTAGAAAGTGTCTGAAATCTCAGTTTACTGCTCACTATTGGTTAAATTGTAGTGAATGAGTGAGCAAGGGAGTGATTTGATGTAGAATAAATTAGATTTCTTGCAATTCAGCTAAAACATGCAAAACCACCAGTGTGGTCATTTAATGTGTAATCTTACTTAACCTGATTCCATGAAGCATGTACTTGGGAGAGTAACTGACTATTTTGAGTACATTCTGGATAGTTACTTCCATGGAGGTGTTGTAATTACAACTATGAAAGTCTACCTCCCCGTCTGAACAAGTAAATACTGTCTGCAATGTATCTGGTAAGGAAATACAATTTTATTTAAATGACACTTGTCAAAACCAGGGTTATAAAGTGCATCACAGTCACAAAAGAAACTATGACAATAATTTAAAAAATATATAAGAACAAGATAAGATAAGATGAGATAGACTTAATTGTCCCGAAGGAAATTTGTCTTGGACACATACAGTATCTGCTGTTAAAAGAATACAAAAATAACATAGTGCATACATACACAGACTGTCGCCAGTCCACATGCACGCACACACAGTACCTACAGTACATGCACAGACATGCATATACAAGTAGTAATCAAGCAGCAGACTTTTGAACTGACTGTAATGCTGCAAAAATATTCTGGACTCTGGTAAAGAAGGACTGAAGTACTGTCCGCCTGGGATTTTTCTACGTGTCCTCCCACCTCTTATGTTATCCAGCAGCATGTGCAGTACAGCCATGGTGAAGGAGGTCTGTTTGGGGGTGAAATTGGCCTCTTTTGCCCACCAGAAACCACAGACGTAGTAATCCAGCAGGGCAGCTTCCTTCATACAGACGTGATGGTTCCCGAAGCCCAGAATCTCTGTCATTTCACTACAGATGACAGAGAGCACATCTGGATAAATACTATTTCAGTGCAGCAGCAATGCATGGAAATACAGTCACATAAATGCTGATGAAACATGTGGGCCATACCAACCCTTCAGGATACTGAGATTACGTCCTCAGGATGGTTTTTTTCCCCGTCTTATTTTTGGGGGAATTTGTGGGTTTTAGAAGACTAAGGAATCCTTGTCGTTCTACAATAAAACAGTACACAGTGTGGATATTTTAAATACTCATGACTCATTTCAGACAAGATTTTAATTCCTGGCAGTGTGGGGAAGGCCTTGCGACACCATTTAGACCTTTGTGTTGGGAAATAAAACGTAGTAGTTAAATAGTTAAACTGAAACAAAAGCAAACATTAAAAAAATAAACTTGCATGGTTGATCAAAAAGGACTTGTCAACTGGAACACAGTATCAACAGGCATGCTGTAGGTTTGTGAATTAATAATGCATTCAGCTTTCTTTTTAAATAGCTATGCAATGACGACTTAACAACACAGAGCGTGTTAATACAGGGTTTCATGACTGCAGACGTTTTTTTCACAAACCACCATAACAACTAACCATCAACCACCAATACTCATTAGTAACTAAAGCCATTCCTTTAAACATTGTGGACGACACGGACGGTGGCAGCCATTGTGTGTGCTTCCCCTTAGCCCGGCCTTAACATGTAGCCAGTCAACGCTACGTTTAGCTACTGCAGCTAGCTCGCGAGACAGGAACTTGAGACGGACGCTACTTACAGCTGAAGCTCGTCCCTGGTGTTTGACAGCAGCGCTTCGACTCGTCGGTGTGGCGCCGCTTCCCACCGGAGGAAACCCGTTTCCTGTTTCTTACGAGAGGTTAAGAACAAAACATGCTGTAGTTATGTCACAATAAGCGAACGCAGGACACGGGACGGTCCGTTATTACCTGTAGCTTGTTGTCCCTTACTTCGGGTTGCTCTTTCTTTTCACGACGTGTCACTCCCGCGGACATGTTGCCAGTGAGGTTGGCGCTCTAGTCGTTTCCATGGCAGCACACCATCAACCCGTCAAACTGCCGGTCCAGGCTGGTCCCGGATGGTGACGCCACACAACAGCCTACCTATGTCAAGGTACAGTTTTATTTATTTTTTCAATCGACAGCATGTTTTTACTGGAGCCCATATGTGTGTATTTGTCATTAGGACTAGATATAACTTTTTAGGCAGGTTAACATGTGATCAATTATCTGTTCATCTGTATCAACATTATCTGTTTTACAATTTGTATCCCATTTTTGGTAGCCTATACTTAATTACACTAATTCGGCTTTTGTTGATTTGTATTAATAAATCATACTGTCATTTAAACATGTATTCATATCACTGACATATGTATGCTTTAATTGTGAAAGTATATATTTTTGCCAGTCTGAACTCAAGGTAGAGTTGATCAGGCTGATGTAGCTCTGTGAGATATCTGGTAGTGTCTCAGTGTGTAGCCATTCAGTTCATGTGATCTTTGAATGCCTGTTAGAAACGCTGTGTAGGGATGCTTCTTCCTAGTCATTCTTTTCTAATTTTTCCTTTTATATTACAGTTTGCCAGCGGGTCATTCCCCTTGTTACGTTCTGATAAGTCAGCCTTTATGAAGGGTTTTGATTTCATAGCTTACAAATGCTTGTGTGTCTCTCACTTTTTAATAAGTCGTCATGTCTGCAGTTAGAAAGGCAGTCCCTAATGAAGGGTCTTGAGTTTCTCAGTTTCTAATACATCAAACAATAATGATAATAATAACAATAATACAAATGATAATGATAATATATCACCACAAATAATTCTTAAAGTAATCCATTGATTAGGCAGTTGTTAATACATTTTATATTAATTGATTTTGTTCTTGACACCCTGCATCCCTTTCTCAGAAATTAAGTGGCCTTCCTGATGAATTGAAGAGCTGTCTGATTATGATGAGCCAAAATATAAATATTATATAATCAGCCACGTGGTGGTGCTATCACATCAAAAATCACTTTCAAGTCTGTTAAACAGCAGACAAACAAACCAACAGGACCAATACATGTTCTTTATGTGGCTGTATGTGAAATAAACGTGTGTGAGCGTCATATACAATGATTACAGTTTAAAGTGTCTCTTATACAGCTGATAGAAAGAGTCAGTGTGACTCTCTGACAGCTGCTCTATCAGGCCTAATGCTTCTTATATACAGTCTATGGCAGGTGGCAGACGTATGGCTGGAAAATGTATCATATTGGTAACGATCATTTTCCAGAAAAAAGAAAATCAAAAACAGGCATAAGGTGAGTCTTTTTGAATTATAATTGGAGAATAATGTTTAAGTATCGACACAATTCTGCATAAGTCAGAGATTTGCCAATATAGCCTACATTACAAAGATAAAGATATATATTTATATTTCATGTTACAATCAACACTTGAAATGATGAAGGCACCTGCAAATAACAAGGTACACAATGTACACCATACTTTGGTGTTTCATTATTACCTCTTTACTTAAGATTTTATTCAACTTAATTTTCTTTCTTTTTACAAAATGTATCAAAAACTGGCAACAAGGACGACCTTGGGTAGGAATTAATGACAATAAATATGAAACAAAATGACCCTCTAAACTAAAAACAATCTGGTTTGAATTGACATCAAAGACTATTACGAAGCATGTTTGAAAGAGATTTAACTTAGCTTAAGCTGATCTATTAAGGGAACCATAAAGTGCTTTGGATGGACGGGAAAAAACAAGCTATTTTACGAGGCAACATATTTTCTTCATAGATCCATATATAATTATATATCTCACAACAAAAAGATTCGTTACCAGAGCTTCCACAACCTCCAGCTGTTTGACTGTAAGAAGGAAACGTCACACCCTCCTCCGCCTCGAGTGCCGCCTGCACTTTATTTAAACCGGGTCTCCCCGCCCCTGCTCTACGTAACATGCGGCACATCGTTACAGGCAAACCGAGCGCAGCCACTATCTTCGCTGAGCTGAGTCGAAGAGGGACCGGATTCACCGCTCAGCTGAGAGGAGAGGACGCCGCCGTAGGTAACTCAGCCCTTCGCTTTTTCATTAAATATCGTTGCTATATGCGCATGCGTTATTTCTTGTTCCATTAACGGATCTGCAGAAAGAAGGAAAAAAACGGAATTATTGTCCAATCAAGATCACAGTGAGTGCGCAAACTCACAGTCCACACCAAATAAATGATAAGCAAACTGTGGGACAAACTGTGACCATGACACTTCCATCCCTTCCTTGTCGTCACCATTAAAATATAACGCGTCACTTTAAAATATAGTCTCGGTGTACCCAGAACGTGATCGATCATCTTCCCCGACCGCCCACACTCCTGTGTCAATCAGCCGGAAGTGTTCTAACCGCACAGATGGCAGATGAATCCTCTGCTTCTTTCCCCGATTCAGCGCTGCCGTGCAGATGGAGTCGGGACCGGGAGGCCGTGGCCGCGCGTCAGCGTCAGCGCCGCTCCCGGAGTCGCCGAGCTGGAGGAGAAGCGCCTGCCCGCTGGACGAACTCCTGTGATCGGACCGTCCTCTGCTGCGCACCGGGAGTGTTGGGAGGGGAAAAAAATGAGCAACTTCAATCAAAATCCTCTCATGGAGCCAGGGGGCGCAGGGTAGAGAGGATTGGCCGGGCAGGGGCCTCCAGGAGAGACCAGAGCTTCACAACTCAATTGTAACTCCACTAAAGCTAATGGTAAGATGCTTTTTATTCATTATGGTATCAGCCCTAATGGTTGGCCTTCATTAATCATGAGTCTTCTGCTTATGGCTGCCAATCTATGAGTGTACTAGTAACTGACGACATTTTACAGAAAACGCATCTTATCCAAATTAAGGCAACTTGACTCCCGGTGTGGTACTGATACAGGTTTAAGACTGATTCAGATCCAGAGGTGGGTTTGTTAAGTTTCGATGGAGTAAAGGCAGAAAAAACACATACCTACTTGTATTGGCCAAGTATGTATGCACATATTTGTTTCTTCAACTCTCTCACACAGAAATAGTAATAACAGCTATAGGAACAAGGACAGTAAAGCTGCACAGGTAAAGGTAGATAACAGACAGGACTGTTATGTACTCAAGTAGTGACAAAACAGATGTTTATAGGAATATAATATAAAAAAAGATAAATCACCAACAATTAAGTACAAAATAATATGTCTGTAAGTTGCAAACTATGCAATTAGTGCAGAGAAATAAATACTGAACAGATGTATGATTATGTACAATATGTACATGTAAAGATGTTTTTATCCTTTTATCCACGCACTCTCCCATCATGTATTAGTAATGGAAATACTAACAGCAGTGGCAAATCTGCAAAATGTCACTGGGAAAGAGGGCAAATGGACGTTTTTTGTTTGTTTTTAAGCCATATACTCTGCTCTTTGAGACTGCCTGCTGTTTGCTCAGGGTGGCAACCTGCTTGCAAAGCTGCATGTTAGGAATGGAAGGTCTTCAAGCAGGGCCGGATTAACCCACAAGGGGGACCTGAGGCAAAAAATGAGCTACCTGCTACCCTCCCTGTCTCTCCAAACTTCTGTCCATTAGTTATTAATGTGGTTGTTGTTGTGGTGGTTGTAGTAGGCCAGTTTCTGGTGTTCGAGCCAAACCACCATGATGTTGACAAGATAAGTTTTTAGTGAAATATCTCAACGATTATAGAATTAATTGTAATGAAATTTGGTTCAGACATTCATGTATTTGACCGTACAGACTTGTTGGGACTTCTCTGAATTTGTCTACGCGGGCCACTAGGCTACAAGTGGTACTGTTGTGATCTTCTGTGCATGTGTGGAATGCTTCCTCCAAGCAGACTCGTCCGTAGTGTCATGCAGCGGTCCATGTGGGAGTCTAAACAAGGTTTTCGGGTTTCGTATTAGTCTGGGGCTCCCTGGTCAGTTGCTAGCTGGGCCTGGTTAGCCATCCAGCCTTATCTTCTAAGGTCCACTCGGCTCGTACCAACCAGTGTTGATGTTCTCCCTCTGTTTGGGTCATTCTCAATTAGGGTCTATTTATTCTTGTTTCCCTTTTGGATTGGGTGCTTTTACCCCCGGAAAATCCAATTATGTATGTTGGGTTCTGGTAGGATTTCCACTGAGCCACTGTGGATCAAGTCCGATGAAGACCACTTGTTAGGAAGCAGAGAAATAGCGGAAATACATAGTGGTGTTTTTGACTGCTGGTATAGCTCGATTCAAAACAAAATCAGGCTTTAGACTAGACATTACCAATCAATTAAAGAATGTCTTCAACCCCAAATACATCCAGCCTATTGGCTCAGGACATCTTTTACACGAATCAAACGTGTCCGATACACTTAGGACTGGTAATCCTTAAGAGTGCTTGATTTAGCACGTACATCTCACAGAAACGTAAACAGCGTAAAGAAAACACAAGAGACAAATGCTTCCGATCCCGACCCATCAAATGTAATTTCGAAGAAAATTAGATTTTGTGTCTTGTAACTTGTATCTAAAGTCCCTGGAACTGGTCTAAGCTGATGAGTAGCTCTAATGCTCTGAAAAAAACAAAAAAAACATGTTTTCACATAAGCACAGACTCAGAACAAAAGATGCCTAATTACAAAATCTTGGCTCATGACACAGCTCGTGGTTCTGTCATCTGAGATAAGTGGAGCGTAGTGTGCCCAGATCAGTGCTGCTGCTGCATGTACACGCCTGTGTTTTTTTTTTTTTTTTTCATTTTTATGGGATCCGCAAAGGATTTAATCAGTCATGCTCTGTCTAATAGATGGGTTGCTCAGTGGAGCGTGATGAGAGAGCATGCTGTCCCAGAGAGAGAGAGAGAAGGAGATGAGAGGAGGAAGACATGACAGTGTCTCTAAAATACAAGGCCTTGGAACACAAAGGAAAAGCGAGTTGACGCTGTCATGAAGACGGAGCCAAGTTAGCTCTTGATTCCTGCCTCCACAGGAATCTTCAGCTTGAATTATGCACACGCAGGAGTGTGTCCCAGTGAAAGAAAGGAGAAGGCCTAACTGTTGTTTGAAGGCACGTTTTGCCTTTTAACACGGAGGGAATGCTAGACCTGTCCAGGAGATGCACATCACTTACTGTATGTGAGTCACTTTCTTTAGGCCTCCTCCACACTTCCTGCCTCTGCAGCCAAGTCATCTGAGCTGAAATAATAGTAATGCAAGTGCAGTGATTTGTCGTTTCATAAGATGGACTTGTTGGTATCCTCATGGATGTGTTATCGCCCAAAAGGGACTAAATGTGTCATTAGAAGTGTCAATTAAAAGTGCACATTAAAGGAGTAGTTTAACATTTTTGAGAAAGTGTTTATGCACTTTCTCACCAAGAGAGAGATTCGAGGATTGATATCAGTCTCATGTTTTTGTGCCCCCATTTGAAATCGACGGCCAAAGATGTCCCCCACATTTGTAGCACAGTTGTTAACATCAGTATGGGACAGTCCAGAAAGACACAGTGTGAAGGGACATCACCCGGCATCAAGATGAGTCTATAATATTAAAAATCTGATTCTTTGTGAATCGCTGCAGTTGATTGCACGACAGCTATGTACCACTGTGTTGCCTGTCTCCCCCCCCCTCTCATGTAAATGTATGGTGGCAGATGCTGATTGGTTGTGGCGGTGACCGCGGCGATATGCATAAGTGACATCGTGTTCATCCGCTGCAATGCAAATGGCCAGTTCGAGGCTTTTTGTCAGCTCACAGAGATTTAAGCAATGACGATTGTCATCGGTACATTAGCGTGGCACTGTGGTGTGACAGTATGTGTTTTGAAGTCCATTGTCAGTTTTGGCCGCTTTTGTTGATGAGTTTACCACTCATTTAGTAGACCAGCTCTGACTATGTCTATGACTATGTTTGCATGCTCAAAATATTCCAGTTTTTGCCCTTAATCCGGTAAAAGCAATGGACCTCGCCTAAAAACATTTTTGTATTCTTATCTTTCTCTTTTTTTCAGTAAGGTGGGCTCGTACCAGTGCACCACATCAGATTAAGGAAACGCTCCTAACTTCAGATAACTGTGCAAACGCCCAGCGTAAACATGATGAATCCACTAAGAGTACATGCACATTTGCATAATCAACACCCCAATAACACCATATAAGGCTACGTGTCCTGCCCCATATGTCCTATAGTGAAGCCTTTTATTGGAAGATATTAAATATCTTAAATTTCCTTCATTGTCCAACTGTTGCTCCCCTGACTAATATCAGCATATCCCATGTCTTGATTGGAAAATGCTACATTCGGAATAAGGCTTAATTCCGAATATCTAAACCGAAAATTGTGTTTACATTACCCCTCTCAAATATGGAATATTGGAATAGTGTCATATCAAACATACAGCTTCCAAAAACGTGGTCTGATAATGTGCCATTTTAGTTAATTTGATTTCACATTTCAGGAGACACTGAAACCCCTACTACAGTGTTTTACATGTTTAATGATGTGCACCGAGTTATTTTAAGACAGTGATGTCAGTGCAGTTTGGCAACACTACAGCAACAGTAAGCAGTATGATGACTTCTCCCACTTAGATCTACGGCAAGCTGAGAGGGTTTGCTGCAATAATGCAATCAATATAGTTATAATGATTTACATTTACATTACACTACAATGCATTGGGGGGGGTGCAAAAGCCCAATGCAAATGCCGGCAATAAGAGTCGGCCCATTTCGTAGTCAAAAACCCTTTTGCGTTTGCGTTGTGGCTTTTGCATTCGTTCAACACTTCTCAGCCACCGTAGTGCAGGGTTTTGGAAACATGCAGCACAGTCCGACCTCCAGCAGCAACTGTGCAGGCTCAGAATCAGAACCGTTTATTGCCATGGTATGTTGAACATACAAGGAATTTGACATGACGGGAGGTGCAAACATTTAACAATCAACAACAATCAGTGCAAGTAGAAACCTATTCAAATTTACAGAGAGGTATAAAAATAAAGTAAGATATAAAATAAAGTTGAAATATAAAATAAAGTGCACAAACGAACAGATAACAGGACTGTAAACAACAAACGGATAACAGGACTATAGACAAGTGAGATATAAGTGTAGTGTAAAGGTGTTGAGTGTAATAGAAGGGATGCAGGGGAGTGACTGGTAGGAATTTGTCCTGGGGATGACAGAGTCAGTGGGGGTCCCGGGCTCTGTTAATGAGCCCGACTGCGGATGGAAAGAAGCTGTTTATGTGGCATGAGGTCTTGGTCCTGATGGACCTCACCCTCCTGCCAGATGGGAGGGGCACGAACAGTTTTTGTCCAGTGTGAGAGGGGTCGGCAACAATCTTTCTTGCTCGCTTCAGGGTCCTTGAAGCGAACAAGTCCTGGAGGGACGGCAGATTGCAGCCCATCACCCTCTCGGCAGAGCGAATGATGCGCTGCAGCCTGCCCTTGTCCTTGGCAGTGGTTGCAGCGTACCAGACTGTGATGGAGGAGCAGAGGATGGACTCAATGATGGCTGTGTAGAAGTGCACCATCATTGTCTTTGGCAGGTTGAATTTCTTCAGCTGCCTCAGGAAGTACATCCTCTGCTGAGCCTTCTTTGTGATAGAGCTGATGTTCAGCTCCCACTTGAGGTCCTGGGATATGATGGAGCCCAGGAAGCAGAAGGACTCCCCCGCGTCGACGGGGGAGTCACACAGGGTGATAGGGGCTGGTGGGGCTGCATTCTTCCGGAAATCCACAACCATCTCCA